ACCTCTCTTGAAGGAGTCAATATACGTAACATGATCCTTAGGATTAAAATCCAATTAATGTGGGTGTCTGGATATTTTTGAAGCTTTTTTTTCCCACCTGCGCACACACAAAACTCAACCTATTGTTTACGTTAACTTCTTAGTGTGTAAAAATTTGTTAATGGATTTTAGAGGCATCTCCCATGAGTGTATATAGTTTCTACCTCTCTGCTAATTTCCAGGCTGGGGACCTGGATCAGGTATAGAGTGTAACTAGGGCAGACGGTCAAGGCGGGTCACCTTTGCGAGGGTAAGAACCAATCTGACGTGCTCTGAGCAAACCTCCGTGTCTTCTATGTTCCCTTCCGCACTTCTTTTCCAGGAAGACCAGCTGTCTATTCCTCCACGCTGCCTCTGGCCCAAAGGCCTGGCCAGTGAGCACCATATGACTAATTCAGACTAATTGTCATGGATCAAATAGCTGCAAACTATTTCCAGTTGCCAGTCTCCCGTTTTCCAATTGTCCCTCTGTTCTATGTCTAAGCAAACATTTGTTCTGCTTATCGTTTCTGAGCAAAGACATGAATCACTCGCCTAGAAGAAACCACAGAGGCAGCTGTTGCCCATTAGGAGCTGACATTTGGGAACGGGGCCTGCAAAACAGGACTCCATAACTGGAGTTTGCTTTTTATTTGTCTCAGTTCTAGCAAAGGAAGCACTGGGCACTCTAGGGGACTAGTAGCAACCAGATCTGTCCTATCATTTTTGTGGCAGGACACTGGAATAGCAAAAGACCCCCCTATTATTAAGAAATCTTTCCTTTTCCTGACTGGTCAAAGTGCCTGAAATCCCAACCTCTGGCTCTCCTTCGGTGGAAGATGCTGTCTTAAGGTTCCTGTAAAAGCGCCCGTGTGTTGCCTGATGAACTCAAGAACCAGTTTGCTCTCATTAAAATCATCGTGGAAGCCCATCTAAAACAGGCTTCTAACATAGAATTAGAGAGGACTTTGTATTAGTCCGTTTTCATGCTGCTGATAAAAACATACCGGAGACTAGGTAATTCATAATAAAGGAAAAAGGTTTAATGGACTCACAGTGGCACGTGGCTGGGGAGGCCTCACAATCACAGTGGAAGACAAGGAGGAGCAAAGGCATGTCTTAGGTGGCAGCAGGCAAGAGAGTGTGTGCAGGGGGACTCCCCTCTATAAGACCATCAGATCTCCTGAGAATTATTCACTACCATGAGAACAGCACAGGAAAGGCCCAGGCCCATTGGGTCCTTCCCATGACACATGGGAATTGTGGGAGCTACAACTCAAGATGAGATTTGGGTGGAGACACAGCCAAACCATATCAAACCTTGGGTTCTCAGGAACTGGAAATTTATTTGATTTTGTAGCAACTTGCATAGAAAATCTACTTTCTAATAGGCTTTTTGCTGCACAGGTCTATATGCTTCACATTATTTAATCCCCAAAACCCTAGCAGGTGAGAAGAAAAGATGATATAATCAAACAAGGCCATAGACAGAGACAGAAACTTTGGGTCGGAAAAGCTTTCAGGCGGAGCCTTGCACTGCATTCCAGTTGTGGGAACACAAAAGACCCCCGTATTTTTTTTTTTTTAAGAACTTGAATATTTAATGTGTAAAGAATACTCAGGCCTCAACAGTAAGTATACTAACAACTCAATTTTTAAAATGAGCAAAAGGCTTGAAAAGACACTCACCAAAAATATACAAGGATGGCAAATAACGACATAAAAATGTGCAACATAATTAGCTGTTAGGGAAATGCAACTTGAAGCCATATTGAGATACCACTCTATACCTATTAAATGAATAACATTTAAAAAAATACTGTCAATACCAAGTGTTGGCAAGGATGTCTAACAACAAGACACTTATACATTACTGGTGGGAATAAAAATCGGTATAACCACTCTGGAAAAGTGTTTGGTAGCTTCCTATAAAATTAGACATACGCTTTCCACAGGACCCAGTAATCCCACTCCTGGGTGAGATTTCACTCCAGTGAAATAAAAATCTATTTTTACACAAAACCCTGCATGCAAGTGTTTGTAACAATAGTCTTCCTGTCAAAACTAGAAACAACCCAAAATGTCGTTCAAGGGGTGGATGGATAAACACATCGTAGTACATCCTTACAATGAAACACTACTCAGAAATAAGGAAAAATAAATTCCTAATACGTGAAACAATTTGGATGAGTCTCAAAGGCATTGGGCAGACGCGGTGGCTCATACCTGTAATGCCAGCACTTTGGGAGACTGAGGCAATTGGATCACCTGAGGTCAGGAGTTCAAGACCAGCCTAATATAGTGAAACCCTGTTTCTACTAAAGATACAAAAATCAGCTGGGAGTGGTGGTGCATGCCTGTAATCCCAGCTACTTGGGAGGCTGAGACAGGAGAATCACTTGAACCAAGGAGGTGGAGGTTGCAATGAGCTGAGATCATGCCACTGCACTCCAGCCTAGGTAACAAGAGCAAAAATTCGTCTTAAAAAAAAAAAAAAAAAAGCATTATGCCTAGTGAAGGAAGCCAGTCTCAAAAGGTGGCATATGACATATGACATGACTCCATTTATGTGACATTCTTAAAGAGACAACATTGCAGTGATGGAGAACAGATCAGTGACTCCCAGGGGCAAGGAGTGGAAGGACAGTTTATCTATAAAAGGGGTAACATGAGGGAGTCTGGGGAGCAGGAGGGGATGGAACTCTTCTGTATTCTGAATGTAGTTCTGGTTACACAACCAATGCATTTGTTAAAATTCATACAACTTGTAGGACATAAATAAAAGGTGACCCCTGACCTACCTCTGCTCCTAGACTATGAGCCAGACAGAAAAGAGCTGGGGGCCTGCCTGCGTACAAGAGTAAACTTCCCCCAATCCCCCTCTTTTTGGTTTGTGCTCACCTTGGCCCTCACCTGGATCCTCTTTCCATCTTCCAAAAGGACAGGAGAAGATGTCAGGCTCAGGGGTGGGAACCTGGGGGCCTAGCTGTTCCCCACGGAGGCCTGCCACCTGTGACCTGCCACACCTCACCTTGCCTTGTGTGGCGTCTTGGATTCCTGAGCTACTCTGGGGCTCTTCCTGGTAGATCAGCTTCTACCCCACTGCAGACACCTAGCAGAGCAAGGTCCTTTGGCTCTCTCCCACCTATTTTCCACTCTTTGCAGTACTGGATTGTGTCTGCCTGCTTATTTTGTAAAAAATGAAATTTGCATTTCTTTTTCACATTCTTCTTGTTTTATTTATTTGCTGCTGTTGTTGCTTGTTGGGGGATGATTATCCAGAAGAGAAATGGCAGAAAGCTCCTTTGTCCTGCTAGCTTAACCCCCAGATGTCATCCCTGCATTAGCAGACAGTTTCTCGGGGCTGTGCACCAATAAAAGAAGAGATGAAACCAAGGAGAGAAAGGCATCTGCTCCAGGAAGCAGTGGATCCAATGGATTAGAGAAGTAAAGAAATCCTCCAAGCTGGAGGTGAAGGAAAGCCCAGATGATAGTTATGCTGTTGTCCAAGCAGGGAACTGAACTGGAACATCAGAGGCCTTCAGAGGGAATGTCTCCAAGAACAAGAAGAAACTGCTCCCAGTGGATTTTCTGATCTATTCAATCTTGTGGAAAATTGTCTTGAGAGGCTGCAGGTAGGTATGGGAGAACTTAATCATCTGTGCAAAGAACACCAAGCAAATGAGAATGAGTTGATCATTGGCTTCAGGGAAAATAAAAGGAGAATGAAAGCAACCAAGCAAGTCTAGTACACTACTTGGCTCAACCGTGAATAATAGTTACATAAGGCACCATGAATACTAACAAAAACAGTTGTGAATGAACAGGGGAAGAGGAGAGGGGGATGAATAGGGCCAAGGTCACACGCCTAATCAAAATCAGCAGCTGGAACCAGAACCCATGTCTTTAGTGGATGCTCCCCAGTGCTTGTTTGTGGGGGACCCAGAGCAGCACCATTCATTGGAGTGCACTTAGCGGGTGTGTGAGCCTGGGAAGAGGGAAGTGGAGGGTACAGGAACAGGAGAACCAGTGGCATAAGTGTTTATCTTTCCTAAGAGGAAGACCACTTTGAATTCCCCTGAGGTCCTGCCACTTCTAGGGTTCAAGGGTGATGAGCAATATCTTTTCCCCTAGGACTCAGCATCCCTGGGCTGTAAACTGGGAGTGTCCTGCCTGCTCTCCTCCCTTTTCCCCCAGAACCTGGTAGGGACAGACAGATCCAAGCTGAGCTTTTCAGGGCCTTGCCAGCAGCTGTGACTGTAAAGACCACATCTGAAGTTCAGCTGAGAGCTGGAAGTTTCAGAATCCTCAGCTCAGAAGCTTCATCATATTCCTGTCCCCAAAGACCTCTGCAGAAAGCTGGAGACTTGGAGACTTGCTGTTCCAATCAAGCATTCAAGTCCGAGCTAAGTTATTGGTTAAAACAGACAAGTGGGGTTCCTAGCCAGGAGAAAAGGCATGGGAGAGAAACAGCAAGCTGACACCAACTCCCCATACACCCAGGCTCAGGGGTCATCCCCAGGGAACTTCCGAGGTGTGTGAAGTCACAGGAGAGAAGTTATGAAAGTCTGACCTTTGTCTCATCCCTGCAGCAGTCAAAGCTCTTAGGTATTTAAAGGCTATTTTCTTTCTTCCCTTTCTGGGAATTACCATTGTTGATCTCATCTTTGCTTGCTTCAAGCCCTGCTTTTGAACCCTTGACTGTAATGTGTCCCCTTCCAGAAGGGTCTTCTCCCCAGTCTACCAGTTTTCCAGATAAAGGGCTTCAATGGGAGAGTCTAATACCCAAGGGCCTGCAGCCTGTGACTTCTGAACTGAAAGTCCAAACCTTACAACTCACCCTTCTTCTGAGCCACCTATCATTCCAGAATTGTATGAGTGAATCTTGTCTCCTTGAAACAATTTTAAACTCTCTGAGAGCAGAGATTGTGTTAGTCAGGATAAGCTAAGCTGCTGTAATAAATAGACCCTCCACGCAAAGGTTCCATACAGTAGATGTTTATTTCTTGCTTACAAAGCAGTCGTTGGTGTATGTGTATGTCCATGTGGTCATTCAGGGATCCAAGCTCCCTCTGTTTTATGGCTCCACCTCACACTAGTTCCTTGCCATCATCTGCATCCAGCTCATGGAATGGAAAAGAGCATGGGGGAGTGTTCCCAGTAGGTTTTTCATGGGTTAGGCTTGGAGGGAGAACACATCACTTCTGCTCACTTTCCATCTGGTAAACCTTAATTTGAGTGGCCACAGTGAATTGCAAGTGAGCATAGAGATGTAGTCCTCCTGTGCCCCCAAGAAATGTATGACTTGGGCAGATCAGCTCTTCTATTCCTTGAGTTCCTTTTCCTTCCCTAGAACTCAGCATAGAGAAGGACCTTCAGAGGCTGTTCCTTGAGAACTTGGTGAGGGTTGCACTGAGGTTGGCTGGCACTTTGCCAACCTCATACAGCTGTGCAGACAGAGGAGACTCGAGGGCCCAGGGCTCAGCTCTACCCAGAAACCCCTCATGTTTGCACCCATCAAACCTCCAAGATGAAGCAGAGCCTGCAGCACTGTGGTTGCATCAGAAAACAGATCGAAGGCTGGTCTTCACAGCCACATAAGCCTCATCCTGGCCTCTGCCCACAGAGGTTGCATCTGTGCAGAAATCCATCCCAGAGCGTCAGGCTGTGGGGGCATCAAGCCCCCAATGAGATTCTGCTCTATCAGGAAGCTGATGCATCTGGTGTATCTGTCCCAGAGCAGCTCTGACGGTCCTGCACTAGGCAATGGAGACATTGACCATGGCCTTGAGCAGAGTGGTTTTGGTAGGCGTGGCAGAGACAAAAGCCAGACTAGAGGAGCTTAGGGAAAGAACAGAGCTAAATGAGCTGGAAATTACCTTTTGCAGTTACCTGGAAAAAATAAGACTGAAGACGATTATGCACATCGCAAGTGACACACACAAGCGCATACACAGCCAGGACTAGGGGTCCTCCTCTTTGAAGCTCCTGATGCCTGCTGGTGCTGTCTTATCTCCCTAGATAGCCTTCCTGTCTTTATCCTCCTCCAGAGAAGCGGCCTGCTCCAGAGTCTGGTGCAGTGATACCAGCAGAGTCTGGTGCAGTGATACCAGCAGAGTCTGGTGCAGGTGGTGTGCTGTGGAAAGAGCACTGGAGCAAAAACAGATCCCTTGGAGACACCTTATCTTCAAAATTGTTCTAAGCTCTGTACCCCACCACTCCTGCCACCACCTGGCCCAACTCACCACAATATCTTGTCCAGAAAATGAGCACAGCCAACTAACTGGTCTCTCTGATGTTGCCCTTGTCCCTGAGCTAGTTCTACACACAGCAGCCTTCACCATCCTTTAAAACTGTGTAACTTGGGTCAGGCTTGGTGGCTTATGCCTGTAATTCCAGTGCTTTGGGAGGCTGAGGTAGAAGGATCCTTTGAGGCCAGGAGTTCAAGACCAGCCTGGGCAACATAGTGAGATCCCATCTCTACGAAAAATTTAAAAATAAGCCAAGTGTGTGAGTGTGTGCCTACAATCCCAGCTACTCGAGAGGCTGAGGTGAGAGGATCGTTTGAGCCCACGAGTTTGAGGCTGCAGTGAGTTTTGATAGTACCACTGAACTCCAGCCTGGGTGACAGAGCAAGAGCCTATCTCAAAAAAAAAAAAAAAAAAAAGTAAATCGTACTGTTAAATATTCCCTTGTTAAGGCCCTCCCTTGGCTCTCTATACCCCTCTTTCTCTATCCCTTTTCCCACTTCCATTTCCTCACAATTAATTCTACACATAATCATCCTTTATATTTAGTCATTTGACTTGATTATCGTCTCTTGTACTGGAAAACGGTCTCTAGGAGAGGGTGCTGGTCTTGTTCACTTCTGTGTCCCAGCCATTTACTAGACATGCTAATATTTACCGAAGACACGTGGTTTCTTTAAGCCTCAGTTTCCCCAACTGCCAAAAGGGGACAATGAATTCTGTGTCACACATTATGGGTTTGCAAGGATTAAATAAGAAAATAAGGAAAGATAGACACTGTGGTCTGTGATATGAGCCAGGTAAGGGAGGGTGGTTTTCAACACCACTGCCTGCAGATGCTAACTTTGCAGGATATTTTCACATCATCAAAGTCCACGTCCAAGGTCGAACCATGGCATCTTCACTACAGACAACAGCTATAGTGCTCCTCCCAGCTGAAAACCCTGGGAGTCTATTGAAAATAAATTAGCAATGCCTCATTCTCAATGAGAAAGTCTCGGGGAGATTTATAATTTTATTTTTTCTAAGCGTACAGAATAACATAAATCAAAAGAAGCAATAGTCTACCTTGTGTTTGGACTACTTTGACCCTCTTCAACCTCTGCCAAATTTTATCTCATTTTTGTTTAACTTTATACATCAGAGTTTAATTTGAGAGCTGGTGGAGAAGACAGTGATGTATAGGGTACATCAGGTGCAGCTGAAATTACCCTGTCCCCAGGGACTGGAGGTTGAAGGGAGGGTCCCAGTCCTGTTTCAGGGTAGAAGAGGAATGGTACAGTTTGCCCCTGGAACCCAGACTCTCTCCACATTGCAGCCTCTCATTGATCTGTCCGGGTTCGAGGAGCTTACAAAATTGTGTCCATGCAGGGCTCATGCTTCCAGAGCAGCCACGGGCTCAAAGCATCAGCCACTATGGACAATGTCATTTCTGGAACCAGATAAGGAGTTCTATTAGCATTGATTTTTCCTCTCTTTTAAGTGGATATGTTCCCCAGAAAAGTGTGTTCAGTTGGCAGTGTGTAATCTGCCAGAGAAGGCTGGCTTTGCCATTCTGACTGTGCAGAGCCTGCCTGGCATCCCACAGAGCACTCACTAAGAGTTGCTGCATGAACACAGGAACAAATGAATGAATGAATGCATGCATGAATGAATGAGTCACCCTTTGCTTCCTCATTACTTTTTTCTTTGTTTGTTTTTGAGACAGAGTTTCACTCTTGTTCTCCAGGCTGGAGTGCAGTGGCACGATCTCTGCTCATTGCAACCTCCACCTCCCAGGTTCAAGTGATTCTCCTGCTTCAGCCTCCCAAGTAGCTGGGATTACAGGCGTGTGCCACCATGCCCGGCTAATTTTGTATTTTTAGTAGAGACGGGTTTTAGCCATGTTGGTGAGGCTGATCTCAAACTCCTGACCTCAGGTGATCCCCCACCCACTTCGGCCTCCCAAAGTGCTGGGATTACAGGCATGGGCCACCTCGCCCGGCCTGTTTCCTCATTACTTTTATGTTCCAGCTGGCTGCAATACTTTTTAGAGATGACAAACAGGAATTGATCAACTGGGCCCCGGACACAGGAACCGGTGAGCTACTGTCTGTCCTAGAAACTCTGTTAATGTCGCTTAGGGACCCTGGATACCAGAAGGAAACTGAGATCCTCTTATCTCACTCTCATCTTTCACGTGAATGTTCCCCAAGACGGCCTGGCCAGGGGCTGGGCCACCTCTGTTAAATGCCTTCAGGGTGGGCCACTCATGCCATGACCCAGTGTTAGCCTCTTTAAAAGTACATTTCCCCTGTAGCACTTACCACATTTAGAAAGTATGTATTTGTGCGATGATTTGATTAAAGTCTGTCTCCCCCACTAAACCCGAAAAACATTGATAAGTTCTGTAATTAAATTTTACCAGAAAGTTCTGTTTGTCCACCTGTATCCCTAGGGTCAGGCCCAGGGCTTACCATACCGGAAGTGTGCAATGTCTCTGAATGAATCAGTGCCAGGCACACTGGGATAGAGGGATGCTGTGATTGGCTAAGGTCAAGGCAGGAATGAGGACAACCGGTAAAAATGTCCAGGTACAGAAGTCATGTCACGCCTAGCCACCTAGTCCATCCTCAGTCCAGAATGTCAGTAAGTGGGCTCAGGGAGGCACTAAAAGGTGGCTGGATTTCAGGGCTAGGTGAAGATGCCAACAGTGGCAAATATCTCTGGTGGGTTCCTTGCTCTAGACCTACACCGTTCACAGTGGCTATCAGCCACCCATGTGGCCGCTGAACACTGAGAATGAGGCTGGTTTGAATGGAGTTGTGTTGTAAGCATAAAATCTATACATCGGATTTCAAAGGTTACATGGGGAAAAAAATGTAGACTATCTCATTGATAAATTTTATATTGATTACATATAATCACATGTTGAAATGATAATATTTTAGATATAATTGGTTAAATAAAATGTATTTTTATGTTTGTTTTAATATTATTTTTGAGACAGCGTCTTACTTTGTCACCCAGGCTGGGGTGTGGTGGTGCAGTCTTGGCTCACTGCAGCCTTAACCCCCCAGGCTCAAGTGATTCTCTCACCTCAGTCTCCCGAGTAACTGGGACTACAGCCACACACCACCCTATTTGGCTAATTTTTGTATTTGTCTGTAGAGATGAGGCTTTGCCATGTTGCTCAGCTTGATCTCAAACTCTTGAGCTCAAGTGATCTGCCCACCTTGGCCTCCCAAAGTGCTGAGATTACAGGCGTGAACCACCGTGCCCGGCTCCAGTAAAAGGTATTATTAAAATTAATTTCAATTGCATCTGCTTTTTGAAATGTGGTTATTATAACATTGAGAATTACATGGCTCACAGTATATTCAAGCGCTGTTCTAGAGGAAGGTCTTTGGAGCAGTTCTTAATTGCAGAAGAGCTTTACATAAACACTCACCACTGAACAGCAATAGTTATCAACCAAGTTGTGTCTATTCTGTGACTGGTCCTTGGCTAGGTACTTCAACCTCTAGTAGCTTTATTTTAGAGACATCTTACTGGATAAATAATCTGAAACATGGAAAAATTCTTTATACACAAAGTTTTTAATTACAGCATTATTTAATATTAACGAAACAGGATATAACCTAAACATTTAAACAGTAGAAGAAGGCTGGGCGTGATGGCTCACGCTTGTAATCTCAGCACCGTGGGAGGTCGAAGTGGGCAGATCACCTGAGGTCAGGAGTTCAAGACCAGCCTGGCCAACATGGTGAAACCCTGTCTCTACTAAAAAATGCAAAAATCAGCCCAGCATGGTGGTGCGGGCCTGTAGTCCCAGCTATTCAAGGAGGCTGAGGTGGGAGGACAGCTTGAACTCAGGAGGTGGAGGTTGCAGTGAGCTGAGATTGCGCCACTGCATTCCAGCCTGGGTGACAAAGCAAGACTCCATCTCAAAAATAAATAAATACATACATACATTCATACCTACAGTAGAATTATAATATGAACTGTGCTAGCATTCATACAAGAGTATTATGCAGCCATCAAAACCTATGTTTGCCAAAGATTTATCATAACATGGCAAAATACTACAACAATGCTCAATCAAAATCTCAAAATTCAAAATCGTATCTGACTCTTACCACATCCAAGGAGGCAAAGCTCCGAGAAAAGCCACTGGAAGGAGTTCCACCAAGCCGTTCACAGTTGTTTTTGGAGAACAGGATGATAAATGATTTCTCTTTTCTTCTTTCTATTTTTTCAATTAGATTTTCTTTAATAATCATTTGATAACAGAGAATTATACATGTGTTATCTCAAGGAAAAAGGCCCGGCCCCAGGAGTTTGCCTTCATGTTGTCAATGGCAACAGGAGGCGAGGCATGTCAAAGTGGGCACGCTCCTTCCAGGCACACGCGGCAAACCTCAAAGCTTCTGCAGGAGCAGCGCCCATGGCCTGCATCTGCTCATGGAGTCCTTTGCCAAGGGAACGCCCCCTCTCTCCGCCTGACTCCTCCACAGACTCTAAGATCTTTGAGGGCAGTGCTATGGTCTCCTCTCTTCCCATTTCCAGCCCAGGGCCAGCACAGGCTGGGTGCTTTGCAAGACGCACTGCACCTGTGCTAGTTTTCTGCCACTTGCCTCAGAGCTCTCCGTGGGCTGTGCCCTGGGAGGCAGAGCTGGGTGGCAGTTTCACTCGCTCCTGCAGGGGTTTATCCAATGCGGAGCCCTAGCAGGAGAGTGGAGGAAGAGAAGAGAGTGTAGTCTAAGTATGCCATTCCCTGGTCACCTCCCTGTGGGTCTTCTTGGGTCCTTTCTCCTGAAGGTAAAAACTCCTCTAAAAGTGGCTCTTACCACACTCTCCTCCTGGCTTCCAGTAACCCATCCCCTTCAGACGTGGGGAAGTAACAGTTCTGTTCATTTTCTCTTGTGCTTTCCTTCACCGTTCCCTTTCCAAATAGCCTCTTTGGAGAATCCTCCATGAATAATCCTAATCTGAGTGTGTCCTCTCTTTCCCACCGAGCCCTTGATGCACACGGAACTTATCTGAAAACGCAGTGCCTGTCCCCGCTGCAGTGTGTGGAGAAGAGAGGCACAGTGCCCGTTCTAGGAAGGGTGGCATCTCTGAGCCTCGTGACGTCTCCTAATGCGCCCAGCACCAGGTGTGGGAGAGCTAAGTTCCAGGGCAGGAAGACCTGAGTCCAAATACAAGATCTAACCCTTCTAACAGCTGTGAGATCCTTTGTGCATTCCTTCAGCCTCGTCTTCTTCATCTGCAAAATGGAGCAAGAACAACTATATTTTGTGAGTATCGTGAGGATTAAATGAGGTGTGATACCTAAATTTCTTAGTGTGTGGCCTGGCTTGGAGTAAACCCCCCAGCAAACATCAGCTGGCACAATTATTGCTCTGACCCTCTGCGGCTGCCTCATGAATGCAAACGTCCCAGGCCGACCTCCACTCCTGAAGACATACTGCAGCAGGACCTAAATCCTCCCACTCCCTGTCCTGGGCTGCAGAGATTACAGGGAAGGCCCTCCCCAGGACCACAGACTGCCCTACATCCATTCTGTGTAAGCTCTGCTGTGAGACACAGGGTTATTTACAGAGCAAGACAAGGAAATGACAAACAGTAGGAGATGAGGTGCATTTTGGGAAAATCCCTTGTTTATTTAAATATTGCGCTTATGAAAGACACCAGAAAGAGAAATATGGGCATTTGTGGCAATGATCAAAAAGGGAAAAAACGGAAATACATGATCAAAAACACAGGAAAGGATTACATCTGAAATAAAATTTGGTACCCTTAAAATATCTGTAATTCAACCTCAGAATGAGTGTATCTTTTAAAAGCTCTTTGGAAACACTTCCCCACTCTCTTTGTCTCTTTTCTTTATAAGGCATCTTCTCTTTAACTCCCTTTGGGAAACTTCTTATAAATGAGGATTTGCATCTCCAGGGATTACTCTGGTTAGGAAAGTGTTTTATTAAAAAATATATGTTTGCCACAGAATGCTGAGCGATATAATTAGCTGGTCCCTTCTGTTTTGTTTTAAAAGGCTGTATGGCCAAGTTCTAATTAAACATATTCTCAGGACGTTTGAAATGTGAAGGTGCCTCAGAAATGCGCACTGAAATGAAAGAAGCAAAGGCTCTGGGAGTATATACCAGGAAGGAGGATCTCTGGCCACGGTGCACCCGGCAGTACGGCTTCATTTCTGTCTCTGCGTGCACAGCTACTGTGGATAGAGAAGCCGGTCCCATCCCACCTTGGTGGGACGCTGCCTTGTGTTCTGGGAGGCCACGTGCTAAATGAGCTGATCTTGTTCCACCCAGGGCAATCCAGGAAGGCTGAAGGAATGAGTCCTGGGCTGGGATTCTGGGGACCTGGGGATGTAATAGGTTATCATCTCTAAAGTGACAATTGCTAAAGTCCCTGCCAGCTCTGACATTCTGATTGGACACGTGGCTGTTTCCACTGCCTTCGTTCTTGTCACAAAGCATAAGAATGCTCCAAATGATCACGCTGCATTTTACTTTGTGAACTCAGGAATAAAACTGAAGGCTGGAGAATCTCACTGTTGTTCCTACTGAATAATGACTGGCTCAACCACGAGAGGCAGTGCTGTGCCCTCATTTGCAAAAAGAGGATACTTCCCTGTCTCCCTTTTGCAGAAGCAAGTAACCTGGAAATTGAAGTATTCAGTCCCCATTCAGAAGGATGGGTTAGGAGCCCACAGGAGTTTAGAGTTTAGAAATGCCCCCTCTGAATCTTCCCACCTGGGCACGCTGTGAGACACCCTTACTCTTTACAAAGCACTTTCATATTCACTAACGCCTCTTACAGAGCAAGCAGAGCTCTCATTTCATTGCTAGTGGGGATACAAAATACTACACTCACTTTGGAAAACAGTTTAGCACTTTCTTGTAGCATTATACACCCTCTTACCATTGACCTAGCAATCATTCTCCTAGGTATTGAAACTTAAGAGAAATGAAAACTTATGTTGACCCAAAACCTAGAGGTACATGTACATAGTGGCTTTATTTGTAATCACCCTAAACTGGAAACTACCCAGCTGTCCTCCAGCTGATGAATGGATAAACAGACCTAGGTACATCCATGCAAAGGGATACTTCTCAGCACTGCTAAGACACAAACTTACTGATACATCTGACAACATAGATAAATCTCAAACGCATTACACTAGACGAAAGAAGCCAGACTTCAAAGGTAAGATACTCTCTAATTCCACATACGCTACACCCTGGAAAAGGGAAAGCTTTAGGGTAAAGAACAGATCAGAGGTTCAGTGGTTTCTAATGCGGGGGAGCTGGGGTTAAGGGCAGGTGGATAGTTTGACTACAAAAAGGCAGCACAGAGCAGTTTTGGGGGAGTAACAAAACTATTCGAGGCCAGGTGTGGTGGCTCATGCCTATAATCACAGCACTTTGGGAGGCCAAAGCTGGTGGATCACCTGAGGTCAGGAGTTCGAGACCAGCCTGGTCAACATGGCGAAACCCTGCCTCTACTTAAAAAAAAAAAAAAAAAAAAAAAAATTTAGCCAGGTATGGTGGTGGGCACCTGTATATAGTCCCAGCCACTCAGGAGGCTGAGGCAGGAGAATCGCTTGAACCTGGAAGGCGAAGGTTGCAGTGAGCCAAGATCGTGCTATTGCATTCCAGCCTGGGTGACAAGAGCCAAACTCTGTCCAAAAAAAAAAAAAAAAAAAAAAAAAAAGAAAAGAGAAAAAAAAACTATTCTAAATCTTAAAAAAAATTTTTTTTTGAGGTAGGATTTTGCTGTCACCCAGGCTGGTGACAATCACGGCACACTGCAGCCTCAACCTCCCAGGTTCAAGTAGTGATCCTTCTGCCTCAGCCTTCCAAGTAGCTGGGGCTACAGGCACATGCCACGATGCCCAGCAAAATTTTAAAAAGTTTTTTGTAAAGACAGGGTCTCACTATGTTGCTCAGGCTGATCTTGAACTCCTGGGCTCAAGCGATCCTCCAGCCTCAGCCTCCCAACGTGCTGGGATTACAGGTGTAAGCCACCACCACACTTAGCCACTGTTCCAAATCTTGATGGCAGTGGTAGTTATGTGATTTTGTGCATTTGGCAAAACTCAGAAAACTGCATACCAAAAAAATGCATTTTATTATACGCAAATTAAAAAATGAATTAAAAACAAAAAACCCTATAGGCTTGGCAGGAAGCGTGGTGGTTGAGGTTGCCTCCTCCCCATACAGTATTCATTTTGTCCTACTAGGAGTGCTCGGTAAGGCGTCAGGGCATCGCATTCCCTGGAGATGCCTCCTGCTTCATGGACGTGGCCCCTGGAAACTGAAGGGAATGACTTAGATTACATGGGTCAATGAAAAGTTTTCTATTCTTCTCTTCCCTGTTGAATGTGGACAAAGAAGCAATTAGTTCCACTCACCATTTGTGGCCCTCTTGAAATCATAAGATAAACCACCTTGAGGATGACATTATGCCTAAAATGAAGGGAAGAGTAAGAAGGCAGAGAAAACTGACTTCCTGTTAATATAATGGAGCCATAATCTACCTCTTGCCAATTTCCTGAAGCCAGTGTGAGCAGGGGTTCGTATTTCTCACAGATCGAAGCATACTAGGAAATATAGTGAGAGATCTCACTGGAACATTTCTGATCTGATCCACTGTCCCAAAACAATCTGAAACAAACTGGGCAACAGAGAACTTGGGTGAAAGAA